ATAATGCAGTCACGGTCCGCTGCTCCTTATTTATAATGGCCCACTGTTATTTATTTAGTCCAAAGTGCCAAGCATGGTGAAGCTAAGCCTGCTGTGTAAAAAAAAAAAGCATCTCATTCCTCCTCCAGTTCATCTGAAAGAATGAGATACAGGGGGAGAGGAGAGAGCAAGGTGCTATCCACCCGCCTACTAGATATGGTTGCATAAATTTAATCAAGACGAGTCATCATCTGCTGTGATATGAAAAATTACCATAACCAAATGCGAGGAACTACGTACAGTTATGAACATGAATTATTAAGTTGTCATGGAAGGCATATAAACATCTATTTGCTGTTCTCAGTGTCTTTATTTCTCTCATGCTTTCTTATACTTGCATGTGTTGTCTTGGTTCTGAAGTGTCGGACTGCCTAGTCAGCAAAGTGAGTTCTTTACCAATGATGCAACTCTTCTCCCAGGACAGGATGTCTCTGTGCTGTTTATTTTGATCTGTTTAACAGAGATGCTTTTATACAAAGTGTCTTCCTTTAGCTCATGTTAACATCATATGCTTTGGACAATGCGTCTTTCTTTAGCTCATGTTACATATGGTATTGAGCTTGTAAGTGAGTAAAGCTCAGCATGAGCATCCATAAAACTGTAAAAGCACTGACACTCTGGCACGCTGCCTGTTCTTTTTAGGATTCATGATTTATGATTTTAGTTCATTTTTTAAAATCATATTGCCACTGTTATAACAAAACCTCAACATAACAAAAGTTTAATAGCACAAAGAAAAAATGTTCTTAAAGGGACACTTTGGCCAAAATGGAAAAAAATGTAACCATCGCTACATCTGAAATGAAATGAAATGGACCTTTTAGCCAACTGTGTCTGAACACATTGGAATTAGACCTCCACATTTAACCTATCCGTGCAGTGAAACACTACATACACACTAGTGAACACACACACACTAGGGGGCAGTGAGCACACTTGCCCGGAGTGGTGGGCAGCCCTGTCGACGGCGCCCGGGGAGCAGTTGGGGGTTAGGTGCCTTGCTCAAGGGCACTTCAGTCACGTACTGTTAGCTGAGGGGATCGAACGTGCCCTTGAGCAAGGCACCTAACCCCCAACTGTTGTAAACATGCCTACTTAAATCCTACTGTAGTGCCACAGTTGTCTATAGAATGAGATTTTCCAATTTAAAGACTAGGAAACCCACCTTCGGATGGTGTCTCTTAAAGGAAAAAAGACTAGCGTCCATTTTGTGCTGACCGAGGTAACAGTCCTACCTTAGTTTTTCTTAGTATGTATTAGCCTATAGCTGAGTGATACTACAGGGATCACCAGTGGTTGAATGTGGTATTTGCATGCATGCAAGATATTGTAATGTGAGAACACTGATGAATAAAAAAAATATTATAAATGCTGAATTCTGTCAAATTGATGAGGCTGAGGCATACAATGCTGAGCTGCAGAATACTGCAATAACATGACAAGTAACATTTTGAGTGCTAGTTTTAGGCTGGAATTCCCCTTTTAAATTATTGTAGGGAGAATTTGTTCCAGGTAATTGTGGACTATTTGTGTTGTGTCATTAGTAATAAAATGTTTTCATATGGTGTAAAAAACTGAAATGGAGATATGAGTTTGTGTCATGGCAGCGACAATATGCTTTTATTTCATTCAACTTCCTTTAGCTAATTTTTCATACGATATTGAGATTGTTATAAGTGAGTAGTGCTTCACTGTGTCCACTCACTGTCCACTCTATTAGGCACTCCTACCTTGGCAGTCCACCTTGAAGATGTAAAGTCAGAGACGATAGCTCATCTGCTGCTGCACAGTTTGTGTTGATCATCCTCTAGTCCTTCATCAGCGGTCACAGGATGCTGCCCACAGGATGCTGTTGGCCAGATATTTTTGGTTGATGGACTATTCTCAGTCCAGCAGTGACACTGAGGTGTTTAAAAACTCCAGCAGCACTGCTGTGTCTGATCCACTCAGACCAGCGCAACACACACTAACACACCACCACCACATCAGTGTTACTGCAGTGCTGAGAATGATCCACCACCCAAATAGTACCTGCTCTGTGAGGGTCCATGCGGGTCCTGACCACTGAAGAACAGGGTAAAAGGGGGCTAACAAAGTATGCAGAGAAACAGATGTACTACAGTCTGTAATTGTAGAACTACGAAGTGCTCCTATATAGTAAGCGGAGCTGATTCAAATGGACAGTGAGCGTAGAAACAAGGAGGTGGTCATAATGTTATGTCTGATCGGTGTATTTTGCGAGCAGATGGCATTTCCTCTTTATAGTGTGAAGCTTTTTAGCATTGATTGCATCTAATGAGCACAGTTCTTGGTTTCCTAAAATAAAAAAGGCTTTTGGTCATTTGCATAGTATGTTTCATCATTATGATAAACAGCTCTTGTAATATGAGAAATGTGTCAAGGAACTGTCCTCTGCTTTGGGGGCATTACACTGACTGTCTATAGGATGGCTTTGTGAGGGGCTTTTGTCCTTGTACTAGTGTTGTGCTTTATAGTAAGGTGATTAGCAGAACACAGACAACCTTCTGGAGGGTGGAGAAATCTTGTTTTTAATTGTCAGTTAAAATAGCTGGTCTTTTGTTTATTCACATAGGATTCCTCCATTTATTAACCCTTTCATTTAATTTGGATTGAACCTATCAGCATTCAAGTCTTTGCTGAAGACTCATTTGTTTTCACTCTTCTTTTTGTCTTTGAATATACTGTTTGTGTTGCTGTCTCACACTGTATATGTTCACTGTCTAGTCTTGCTTTTCATTATTCCTGTTTGATGCATTATATTGTTGAAAAGCATCCGTAAGAATGAGAAAAGTACAGCATAAATAAAGGTGATGATGATGATGATGGTCTGTGAGGAATTTGCAGCCAGTCACACTGTGAGTGAAACTGAAACACTCCCTGTTTGGCTAGCATATAAGTCTGTGTTTACTTAAATATTCATTCACTGTCTATTTTCCATTGGTAACAGGGCAGCGCAGGGCGACTGTTGCATGTTATGTTAATTTGAATGTGAATGGCAGTTGGGCAGTTGTGTGGGCAGTGTGCTTGTAGAGTGGCAGTGGTTAAGAGCATGTCTAGTGTGCTGTTCGAAAGAGCTGCTGCACACACTGACATGGCTTAAGTCTGTGCACAGAGACTCGGTGTAATCCTTTTAGTGAAGTCAATGAACAACATCCTCATTAATGTTCTTCATGGCCTTCTGGGACCAGGCTCCCTCTAGTGCTGGACCTGTAGGGATTTTATCTGTCAGCAAGTGATCTACAGGAAATCATATATATATATATATATATATATATATATATATATATGTATATATATATATATATATATATATATATATATATATATATATATATATATATATATATTAGGGGTGGGAATCTCTAGGCACCTCACGATTCGATTACGATTCAGAGGGCTGCGATGCGATTATAAAACGATTATCGATGCATCTTGATGCATCTTTTTTTCTATATAGCAGTTATATTTTCTCACTGTGTGAGCTCAAGTTGCGAGTTCAAGTTTCAAGTTTATTTGTCATTTGCACAACATGTCAGGATATTTATGCATTGAAATGCTTGTGGTGAGGCTCAGCTAATCACTCTACAGAAAGTAAATAAATAAAAATACAAGAAAAACCAACAGAAATATATTAAATATACACAAAATATACACAAAATATACACAGAATATAGAGACAATATACATTTTAAAGTGACTAAGTAACTCTGTGTTATTGTTATTTAAAGTGACTTGGTACTTTTAAAGCAAAGTATTTGTCATGATCCATAATGAATTTACTTCCAATATCTTTTTTAAGTGATGTGGCAAGTGAACTAGAAGGCTCTCATTCAGTGCTCTTGTTTGGAGCACGAGATGCTGCTGCCACTCATCTGCGATAAAATGCGCAGTTACGGTGAAATAAGATCCCGTGTCAGTGGATCTCCACGCAGCACATGTTACAGCTATTCTACCCGTTTTCTTTAGTGACTTTATAACTTTGGTTTTGGTCTCGTTGTAGAGGTGGGGGGGGTCGCTGTGTCAGTAAAGTATCTTTGAGACGGGACGTGTGCAACATGGCGCAAAAGCCCTGTTTCGCAACGACTGAGAACCGGCGTGCAGACTGCAGGTCACATAGCAGCGATGCGTTATTCACATTTATAAGCAGCGCAGTTGGTTTCCTGGTACGTTAAATCTGCAACGAGAGACTGTCAAACAGTAAAAAGTGGCGAAGCTGAAGGCGCTTCTCTTTTGAATTCTCCCGTTCCACCTTAAATGGCGCCTCAGTTAGAATTTAAGGGAATGGGTAAATTTGAACAAGAAGCTGGAGAATAAGAAGTGACTTCAGCCTCGTTAAACAGTCTAACGTTGAGAGACATTTAACTGATCTACTTCTGAGGAAAAGTTTTCTGGAGGAGATGGAAGAAAAGTGGCTACAGCTAAAGCTTAAAGCTGAGCGAAGTAAATCTGCGCTCTCGTTTATATTGTTTAGCCTAAACTAGGACATTATCACATACTGAGACATACTGGACATTAAATGTTGCGGCTCCCAAGGTGGTTTGATTTTTGTTGAAAGGTCAAAATGTTATCATTTGGGTTGCGACTCCTGACCTAACCTGGCTTTAATGCAGAGGGAGCCGGTCGGATTTCTCACTCATCCAGTAGTGTTTTTGTTATGTGCTGCCACAGACTGTCCAGGCGCTGCACTTCTGCACTTCCAGGTTCCGGCTTTTGCGTTCTGTCAACATTACGTTATAAATTAAATATTTAGAAAATCGATATTTCACATTTGTGAATTCATTCCGAATCGTTCACGTCCGCATCGCGATGCATCTAAGAATCGATTTTTTCCCGCACCCCTAATAAATATATATATATATATATATATATATTCTTTACATGAAAGTGATTATTTAGTAAATCTTTTAACATTTCACTGCGGTAACCTTGACTGAACACAGCTTTGGCCGGGCAGGAGTGGAGTGTTACTGCCAGCATGAGAGCGGCTCGGCTATCATCCAGCTGCAGTTTCTCATCAATGAGGTGAGTCCATTGAGCTCTGCCTTTTTCATCAACTAGTCCCACACCCATGCTACAAAGTTATCTTGGTAGGTTTACATTGTCTGTATCTGCATCTGAGCATCAATAATGAGCTTCCACTTTTCTTTTTTATGCATAATGTTGTAGGCTGTCATGATCACTTATAATGAAATAATGAAAAAATCTATTAAAATCTACCTGCTCAATGAATCTGCAATGATTATGGCAACTTACATGGAGTCTATTTAAAGACTTGCTAGTTTATCTTTTCCAGTAAAGTGTTGTTTAGTGCATGTCTATTGTATTGTTTGGTCATCAAAATAATCTCTAATTTACTTGATTGCTAATTTAAACGCTAGTTACTTATCTGTCTGTCTGTCTGTCTGTCTGTTGCACAGGGGGCGCTGGTGAGTGCTTTAGCTGATGACAGCATTCACTTATGGAATTTGAGACAAAAGATTCCAGCCATTCTCCACTCTCTTAAATTCAGCAGGGAGAGGTAAGAATTTCCATTGCACATGCTTATGAGCATGGTCATCACATGTGAACTGGGAGCTGTGTTCTAAACTGCGTTCCCACAGCTTTTAACTGTTTGAAATATTACACATCAGTGTTATTCCAAAATTGCTTATGCGTTGTTAATCATGGCATGACATCAGCTCTAAATAAACTGTAGAATCATTGATTGTATGAAACCTCTGAAGGAAAAGACAGTGTTTTCGTCTGTCATTAAGAGTCTGGGGACTTTAGCTTTGACCTGACTTCCCCTGAACCCACATTACACCATGGCAACCATGTACAGTCTGCTATGATATCATTTGATTTATTCAGGTTCATGGAGTCAGAGCCGTCTGTACAGGCAGATGATGACTAATTCATGCTGCCGGATTTCTCTGTATTTTACATCATTTTCTTGTTGACATTTTTGTCCATATGCCTCTTTTAAACCACAAATCTGTTGTATCATCAAGGAATTCCAGGCATGATGGGACATTTGGTTAAATTAAACAGGATTCACCTTTATTGATGCAAATTTTCTTCTGTTCTTTGTTTTTTGGCAGGATTACTTTTTGCCATCTTCCCTTCCAGAGTAAATGGTTGTATATCGGAACAGAAAGAGGGAACATTCATATTGTCAATGTGGAGTCCTTCAGTCTCTCAGGCTATGTCATCATGTGGAACAAAGCCATTGAACTGTGAGTCTGCTTGACTTTATCTGTACCTGGCCTCTCTAGGTCCCGACTTAAGAGACTTCCAGTAATATAAAAAAATACTTTTGACCTCTACACACAAAATCCCTAGTGTTGAATGAGGACAGACAGTGCTGAATGACCTCTTAGTGTTCATTTGTGTCTTGCTGGACTTATTTGAATCCTGCAGGTGTTAGTTCAGCACTCTGGATGTTGCCGTGTACATTTTTTGTCACTTTGACTCTTGACTGCTTAGCGTTAACACTGTTTGTTACTGTACATGCAAGTGTAATAAGTCACTACATATCATGTGGTAATGGTTTGTGAAGTCAATAGCAATCATTGTCCCAGTGTTTCCAGTGGTATGATGTTGAGTGAAAATCATTTGCTGTGGCTATCTTTGCCCCTCTACACTCATCACAGTTTCAGAGATGCAGGCCTCCAGATGAGTTGTCATAGAAACAAGGAAGAATTTAAAAGAATACGCACACACATTTGGTTTTGTTGTTTGCCTAGCAGAGATGTCTATGAACTAAGCTCCAAAGCAAGAAAGTTAGAACTGCTAAACAAGCACAAGAATATTAAACACAAATATTCTGTAAGTTTCAGAACACGTAGATATGTTGCTTTGCTCTGCAGAGACAAAAATGGCTTATTTTATCTACCTTTTAGTTTTCAGAAAGTGAAACCTGTTGAAAAATGTTGATTTTTTTGTTTTTTGTTTTTTTATTTTATTTTACATTGTTTTAGCAATGATGATGATTTTAGTTGAAGGCAGTAGGTACGTTTGCAGAATTGTGTGGTCAATCCACCAGGATAGAGTCTCTCTAGTGTCCATCTTCACTTTGCTGTTCCTGCTGTTGTTGCTATGGAGATGGTATCTTTCGCATTCCAGGGGGTGTAATTAAATTACTTTCCAAGCCCACTGAGGTAGATGAATGTTGTTCTGACATATATGCTCGAGGTCATCTGAGCCCATCCTAAATATTTCTCACTCAGACTCTTTTAAAATGATTTCAGGAATCAGTCTCTTTCAAACATGTTGATTCTAACATGATTCAAACATGTTGACTGTTTTTTATGAATGTTTTAGCTCTTCAAAAACCCACCCTGGACCTGTGGTGCACATCAGTGATAACCCTATGGATGAGGGAAAGGTGAGAGACCCAAAGCAGTGCAGGGCCTTTTTGCTTTAGTTTCTATATAACAGTTATTTCATTTAATGGTTGTGTATGCTACTGAGAGTCAAGCTGAACTGAAGAGTATTAATGTTTATCTTTTGTTTGTTTTGCAGCTTTTGATTGGTTTCGAATGTGGTTTTGTCGTGCTGTGGGACTTGAAATCAAAGAAAGCTGACTACCGCTACAATTATGATGAGGTGATCTTTTGTTTAAAGTTTAATTCTTAAAATTCCAGAGATGGATTCCCAGTTGAGATTAAGTCTTGTACTAGACTACAGTAGGTTATTAAGGTGTGTTCTCTATCCTTTAATGTCTACAACTAGGTTTAATCTCTTTCATAAAGCTGATCGGAAACGTTATGCTTTTGCCAATTGGAGTGAGAAGAGGTTCACTAATATTTTTCCAGCAACTCGCTGACAGATTGCATTGAACATTTGAACTCTTCCGAGTGAATCACATTCCACACTTATTTAACTTCCTTTACGGTTTGCCCATCTCCAAACTTTCTGGAAAAAACTAGTACATGTTAACAAGATTTCACATTGAATAACTATTTACATCTAAATTATTTAATTCTGTAGAATTTTTGAAAAATCTATGAAATGTTCCTTTAAAATGGTAGCTGTGTCTTACTACTTTAAATGCAGGTTTAAAAGTCTTACTACATTTTAAGGATGATGTTAGACTTAAGGTATCCCTGGTTTCTCACTGGATTCTCCCTAATTTAGCCCACTTGTTTCAGCCCCTAGGCTATTTACAAAATCCTTCGTGATATGAATCAGGTATGTTAGAGTAGGACAATTGCTATGCAGAACTCGTATAGTTCTCATCTGTTACCTTTTGAGCGTTTTCTCAAGCTCTTTTGGCAGTCTTCACCTAATGTTTTTCATGCTAAGACCCAGAGTCCTGGATCTTTTCCCTGAAACAGCACCATTGGGCAGTCCAGGGGGGGTCTCACTTTTTTTCAACTCTTATCAGAAGCTGGTCACTATATGCACTAAATGTACCAACCATGATTGTGTCCTGGACGGGAGGTCATGTTTAGCTGCCTGTCTTTTGGCAGCTACTTATTTAAAAAAATCTCCAGGAACAGTTCCGGAAACCACAACCTAATAATCATTAATGTGCACATTGTCTTTCTAATTAGTTCCTATTGTTATTTAATACATTGATTTTTCCATATAAGCTATTTGTAATGTCTGCCAACAGATTTGCATTGTCAGATCTAGGATGACAAAAACTGAGTATCTAAGCAAGATGCATGTTTTTTTTCTCCCCATAAGAAACCACAATATACATGTTTTTTTCTGTCCTGGATGTTCTATGTTTGATTACTCATCTTTTGTTTGGCCTGTAGGCGATCCACTCTGTGGCCTGGCACCATGAGGGGAAACAGTTTGTGTGCAGTCACTCAGATGGTACACTTACCACATGGAATGTACGATCCCCTGCCAAGCCTGCACAGATCATTACACCACATGGTAAGCTCCTGCCCAAACACACGCCATGTGTCCCAGTTAGGACCAGCGCTTCAAAGTAGTGCCGCATGTATAACTCAGTTTGGGGTTATAATATGAAAAACCTCTGAATCAGGGCCTTAGGAAGATATGGCTGAACTCAAATTGGACAAATAACACCCTGAAGTTGAATTAAATAGATTAAAAGAAAATTAAAAGCTTGCCTGCAATTTTCTTTCAGGTAAGCAGCCTAAGGATGGAAAAAAACCTGAACCATGCAAGCCCATTCTGAAAGTGGAGTACAAAACAGCCAGAGCAGGGTAAGATAAAATCACTGGTTAATTTGTGTTGCTTTCTAGAAATTATGTAACCTTGATGTTTATTAAAAAAAAAACATGCAAAAAATGTCTTTGTGGTTAATTAGCTAAATTTTACACTGAAAATATGGCAGGAAATGACAAATCTAACCTTTTATTGAAGTTAATTTAGAAAATAAAAGCCTTTTTCAAAAATATATAAAACAAAAAACGTGTCACGATTATTAGCACCCGTAGAAATTCCTAGTAACAAAATGTAACTGAAGCAAGTTACTTTTAAGCCGCTTAAGCAACCGTCCATGACTTCCTGTTTCATTGAGGCGTAAATATGAGGTAAGACAGAGGCCAAATTCTCTGTCATTCTGCCTCAGGGGGAAATTTAGACAATACATATATCAAATATGTAGATTGACCTTCATAAATCTGGAAATATCTTTAAAAAAAGATTCATTGTTGAAAATACCTATCTACTGTTAATTCAATTAATTAATATCAGTTAAAAAAAATCATAATTAAGTTTAAAACAACCAGAGCTGCTTGAAAGAGGACATGTTTTGCCCTCACATACAGTGAGGATGATGGTTAGAGAGGCAAAAAATTCTCCAACGTGATTGGAGAATCGCAGTAGTTGGTACCGTTTTTGGGGTCACCAAGTCTCCAAAACAACAGTTAGATACAACAAACTATTTGGATGGTGTGCCAGAGGTAACATTTTTCTTTCATCTAATCACAAATGGAGTTTGCTAGAAGCTACTGAAACTTTGACTGGACCTGGGTCCTGTGGTCAGATGAGACAAAAACAAATCTTTTTTGGCAACAAACCCTAAAGGCAGTTTTGACATAAAAAGTGAGATGGTTATACAGAAATGGATTTAAAGTGTTAAATGCAGGGCCGATAATTGTGACATGATGTTTTGTTAAAAGCAAAAAAAATGTTTTTGTTTCCTTGTCTAAATTTAAATTTAATGGTTAGATTTCTGTCATGTCATATTTGTGGAACATTGAACTAATTACCACAAAGACCTTTTTTTATTCATCTTTACCAAGGATGTCAACAATTTTAGAGCTCACCGTATCAAAGAGTCAGCTTTATTTTAGTATCTATATCCTCATGCCCCATCAATGTGGTTCTCACTTCCTGTTTTCTCTTGGGTTGTGGTAAGTTGTCTTTCTTCCTGTTTTTGTTCAGGGAGCCTTTCATGATACTGTCTGGAGGTCTTTCGTATGATACGGTGGGTCGCAGGGCCTGTCTGACTGTGATGCATGGAAAAAGCACTGCTGTGCTGGAGATGGACTACCCCATTGTAGATTTTCTAGCGCTGTGTGAAACTCCCTATCCAAATGGTGAGCTACTGCTTCAGCCTGGTCACAAAATGGAGAAATGCTTGTGGTGACTACTACTGCACAAGCACTGTCATTTTGCTCAAACACCAACTGCAGTGTTGTTACATTTGTTTCATTATAAGTGGTTAAAACTAGGGATGCACCGATGTGGAAACTGGGCTGATGCCAATATCTGATATTTTTATATCTGTTGATGTTGATACTGATTTTGCTACAAAACATTTAGAAAATGTAAAAATTGAGTTTAAATCTGCCTTAAACATCCTCAGAGAAAAATATACCTTTACTTCAATAAGGTTACAAATGTAGTGAGATAAATAAAATAAAAAAAGATTAATTTTAGCACAGTAGCCCAGTGTCACCTAAATGTTCTGCTCTTCCAGAGTACAATAACTACATCAACAAATATCTGTTTAATGCCAATATGATTCCAATATCAATCTCGTCCCTATTCATACTCATCCCTAGTTAATTCTGAATATCCTGAATAAAATGACTTTTACCTCTGTTTCTTCTCAGATTACCAGGAGCCTTATGCTGTAGTGGTTCTGCTGGAGAAGGATTTAGTAGTTATTGACCTTGCACAACCTGGGTAAGTAAATAACCCCAGGAATTTTACAAACGAAAGTAATTTTCTAACATCTTACTACAAAAATTATGACGATTGCCTCTTTCTATGCAGGTACCCAAGCTTCGAGAATCCATATCCTCTGACCATCCATGAATCTCCTGTGACCTGCTGCGAGTACTTTGCTGACTGCCCTGCTGAACTCATTCCTGCACTTTACTCTGTGGGCTCCAGGCAGAAGAGACAGGGCTACAGTAAAAAAGTAATTCTGTCCACAAACCTGTCTGCTTTAATAAGGAAGTTTGTGTACTTTCCTGCCTAACACATTTAGTAAGAATATATTATTTTGTTTTGTCCAGCTGTTTTTTCAAAAAGTGTTTTGCTTATTGCTGAAAATGATTACTGAGATCTGTATTTTATCACAGAAATGGCCTATAAGTGGTGGTAACTGGGGCCAGGGTGCACAAAGCTACCCAGAGATCATCATCACAGGGTGAGTCTCTTTTTCACACGCTTGAGCATACACAGAGTTATCGAAGGACTTCTCCCCATTATATATTTGAATTGTTCAAAAGAGATCAATATGGCTGTATGTTTCTGTGAAGGACTGTTCTTTATTTTCATGCCCCGCCTTTTTTTGAGCAACTTATGCAGTTCTCTTAACAGTTTTTCCTTTTTGTGTTTTGGTGAACTATAGACATGCCGATGGATCAGTCAAGTTTTGGGATGCTTCCGCACGTGAGTGGTTGCAGCTCTCACTAAATGATCGATATATCTTGATAAATGAAGTGTGTGTGGAAATAACTGTTGTTGCTTCTTATCCAGTAATGTTGCAGGTGCTGTACAAATTGAAAACTGCAAAGGTATTCGAGAAGACCCGCAATAAGGAGGAGAAGCCCAGTACTGATATAGTGGATGAAGACCCTTTTGCTATCCAGAGCCTGGCCTGGTGCCCAGAGAGTCGTTTGCTATGCGTGGCTGGGGTCTCTGCTCATGTCATTGTTTACCGGTTCAGCAAACAGGAAATTACCACAGAGGAGGTTCAGGTATGACCTGCATTCACATATCAACCACAGATTGACCTGTGCTTGCTAAGCGGTTCAGAATACTGCTGATTTAAGGTCAAGTTTGTGGGTAGTCCTTCAATATGTAGTAAAAAGTGAACTGGTTGAACTCAGAAACAGCTTAAGTTGATGTTCTTTTAGAGATTAATAAGAAAATAGCAAAAATTGTTGCAGCTTTGCCTGTTTAAATATAAAAGCATGGTACGGCATACTCAAGCATAGCATGTTACACACAGAGACATACTCAAGCATTGTGCCTCACACATGTAAATTTACAAAAGGTTCTTCATAGTTATTTTTCCATGTGTATCTAAATGAGTAGCTGCTGGAGGTGCGTATGCAGTGTGAGCTAAATGAAGTGGACTCTCCGGATGTGGGAGGGGATCAGGCATCAGCTGTGTCCACGCCGGGAGCTTCCTCCAGCCCTCAGTCCAGCGCACCACAAACACACCCATCTACCAGCAGCAACAACTCCTCTGACGGCCTGCGGGATAACGTGCCCTGCCTCAGGTATGACAGTACTTTACTCTGCAGATGTATTGGAATTTCGCCTCACTGTTTCCTTTGCTGTGTTTGAGCAACAATCAGGTGATTATGGGCTGTCCTGTGATCTGATTTTGAAGGGAATATATGGTTCGATGTACAGCTACCATTAGCTAGGAAAATACTTCTGGGTTTTAAAAAAAAAAGCTTTTACTGTTTATATTCAACTATGATGTAAAAATTAGAATTGAATGTAGTCATTGTGGAAGTTGGGAATTTGGGATCCAGTAAATCATGTCCCAAATAACTCATAATCAAATTAAATCATTATGAGGTCACAGATTCCCCCCTACTATTGACCTGAAGCTGTTACTTCTTTTCTATAGGAACCCCTTTTTTCAGCTTCTGTTGTTCTGTTAAGTAATATGTGGTTTGATTTTAGCATATGGCTTCTTTTTTTGCACTTCAGGGTTAGGAACACTCCACTGAAACAGTCACCAGGATACCAGGTGGAACTGATTATTCAGCTGGTGTGGGTCAGCGGGGAGCCACCACAGCAGATCACCAGCTTGGCTGTCAACTCTGCATATGGCCTGTAAACCCACCCACAAAATAACATTTTATATACATTTAAAATGAATGCACATTTACAGTTTGGAGTCTTTATGAGTGTTGACTAAATCAGAAATGGTGTTAATCTTCCTCTTGTGCCGCAGAGTGGCTTTTGGTAATGGTAATGGGCTGGCAGTAGTGGACTACCTTCAGAAGACCCTGTTACTCAATATGGCCACAGCAGAGCTCTACGGTTCCTCTGATCCACACCAGAGACAACCGCGCTCACCCCGCAAGGCGAGGCAGCCCTCTGGAGGTGAGGAAATAGCTGGTAGCATGTGTTAGACTCATAATCATATACTGTGTGAGTGAGCATCAGTCAGTCTGTCTGTTTGGCTAGGATGCAGTGCAGGCTGTGCTTATTATCAGCAGGCTTGGCCTAAAAGCTTTAGTGGCCCTGCTAGGCTCCATAACCCCTACCACTGCAAGTAGCTGTTTCTGGCAGAGTATCCATCTGCCCTCTTGAACTAAGGGAGTAGACAGAATTAGATACAGTATTTGTGAGGGTATGTGTGTAAAGTCATCATTTTCACCCTTTTACATCTTAATGTTCAAGTCTTGTCCCTTTGTTTTTGTTTTTTAAGTCATGTCCAAGCTTTTCCATGTTCTCCATGTTCTTCTTGCTATACTCTTTGAGTTTAAATGCCTGGGAAACTGCAGTAGTCTGGGACTGTACCTACCTCACCAGCAGCAATTTTATGACTTATTCACCGAAAAGGAATCTCAGCGGAGTGTTTAGTATAGTCACACAATTGACCTTTGGCAAAATTATGATTTGACCTGCCTCTCAGCCAAACGCAATCATATCTAAATATTCCTTCCTAAATATTTTTTCAAAGGAAATAAACAAACCTGCAGTCAAAGTGGTGGTGGCAGTAAATTACTCGGAATTATTAGGCTAAGAGATCGTGGAAAAGTGATGCTGAGGAACATATAATGCCTAACATGCTATCCTGATCATTTAGAGGATCATGTTATTTTTATTTCATCCCTGAAGCTAAAAATGTTTTAGATTAAACTGCGTAGTAAACCACACTCACAGCTCAGTGGCAATACTACTAATTAAGGTAAGCTAAACAGTATCTGGGTTACTGTATTTGCTTTTATTAACTTAGCTGCTGACAGTTTGCTTGATAAATAGGTTAGATTGAACAGGACTGTACAGCAAGTAAAGATAAATATTAATGCACTTATATGCATGACATTCTTTGTATTGTTTCATTAGAGTTTCATTGTAGTTAAAAGAACTTTGGTAGAAGACGAGTCCTCCTCAGCATCTAGCATCACTGACTAGCTCTGCTGTTTGACTAATGTAAGCATAGTTTTTCTGGAATCTTTTTTTGTTCACTTTAAATTGGGCGACATGCATATTTGGTTAATTCTCAAACATGTATGTCTGCATTGAACATCTTTTAAAGCCAGATAATGTTTGAATGAAAAATGTTTCAAATGTGCTTTTCTGTGTGCTTCTAAATTTCTTATACTTTTAATTGTACTACTGAAATTTTTAGTCTGTTAACACAAGTGTTACAGACGCTACCAGGCAGCCTGTTCAGAAAGTTTGACAATTGTAACTAAGGGAGGCAGAACATTTGTTAAGTCAATTCTGAATTCAGTCTTTTGGCTGTGTGTGTTCCAGGATGTTTTAACTGTCCTTTGATTTCCTGTGATTGTTTTGTCTCACCCTTGCATTGTTGATTTCTTTCTGTGGTTTTGTAAAGACAATCTACCTAAGACGTCTTGCATGTCCAGCCTCTCTAGCTTTTATTCTGAATCTGTGAAAAAACTACGCTCTTCTTATCTCAGTAAGTCATCTGACTTCATCTATCATTTTTCTTTTTTTCTAGCTCTGTCTGCTCTCTTCTCTCTGTTTGCTCTGTTTTTAGGCTAGTATTTGATTTGATCCTTCATTATAAGTCATCATCTCAAACCGTGACAACTTCCTTAGTTGTCAGTCATATGGTACTTATATAACGTTTATTTTCTTTAGGTCTCTGTGATGGCAACGATGGGTCTGCAGGTTCAGAAGACCGGTGCAAGTCACCTACATCAGGTAATTGTTATCTACTTTATTTTCCCTTTTCATATTTAATTTGTATAATTGTTGTAAAACATCATTCACTAGCATTACAGAGCTACACTGTAAATACCAGTGCTTGGAATGAATGGTAGTTTATTTGCTCCACTGTACAGTCCATAGATAGCAATAGCTTTTGTACAAAGTGCATTCACTGAGTTTACGGTGAATGGATAATAGCAGCACCAGTTATTGGACAGTAGCACATAATTATGGAATCTGTTGTTGCTACGTAGGTTCTGGTTCACCTTCCCATTCAGATGATGAAAGCAAGCATAATTTTCTTGAAAGGGGTATGATTTTGGCATTTTTTTTTTTTTACTAGCATTACCCAAGTTTCGAATTGATTGTACTGTACATACTTTTTATTGACATGTTCTTTCTTAAAACATTTTCCAGTGAAATCGAAAAGCAAGCTGATATCAAAGAGTGTTGCCAATGACTTTGGTACTGTATACGTTTATTTTATTGTTTTTTTTTCCTTAATCTGTAACTTTCTTTCCACTAATGCACTGGGCTTTTGCTCTGAGCATCTAACCAAAGTGACATTTGTGCTGTCTAATGCTCTTTGGGGAAATAAGTAGGTTTGTGTAGTGCACAAGAAGAGATTTGAGTGATTTGGCCTCACCTGAACAGCTTGTTGCCCTTCCGCACGGTGGTAGGGTGTTTGTAAATACTGCCTTCACAACGTATGCGCAATTTTACGAAGTAATCACAACGCATGCACAATTTTAGACTGTATTTTGAATGTTGCATCAAAGCCACCAAACTAGTAATTTGTTCCGGAAAATCTCTTGGCTCCTCTGATGTAGCTTACTAATGGACAGCTATGTTCAAATCAGTGGTTCTTTACTAACTATTCTTTCTCCACTCTTCCTTCAAAGGCTTGTGCTTCCTGTATTTTTTGTGTCTAACCTTGTTTAACTTTACAGGCTATGTGCACAACATGGTGATGTATTACAAGGGTAACCCATATGCATAAAGGCTTCTTTTACATTTCATATATTTGAAAGGTGTAATGATTTCAGTACAGTATCGAATAATCAAATTCAAAACGGTCTATTGAACTTTAAACTCTCTCTCACTCACTCTCTTCCAATTAACGCTCAATGATCAGAACTCACAAGGCATTTGGGTGCATCCTATCAAAGTAAAGTGGCTGATGCATGTGTTATGCATGCAACCATAATCAAATAGAGCTCTGTGTCATTCAGTAGTTGGCATCACATCCATTTTAGGGCCTCTGGGTCTAAGTAGACTATAAAAAAAAAGAATGCCATTTTCAAAAATCACTGCTGTCACTCTCTGTGGTGAACAGAAATGTTAATTCACATTTCAGCTCTTAATGACCTTGAAGTACAGGGAGTCCAGCGATATTTGGAGGAAAAATATATAAAGGACAAAACTATTGGGTTTTGGAACATTTTTGCTCACCATAAAGTGCAATAGCAGTGATCTTTGAAAAAGCCATTCATTTTTCTTATAGGGAGAAGCAGCTTAGATTCAGGATTCATTATATGAACATGGCCTTGACTACAGAATGACAAAACAACTTTGGAGATCTGTGACCTCCATAAATTCTAAATAGTGTAAATTGGGTGCAAACATTAACATTTTAATACATAAACAGAAGATGGATATTCAGGCATTTCTTGTTTTTTGCTGTATCAAAAACTGTATTGATTAACCTCCGTATCGTACTGAATTTTGAAATTTGTGTATCGTTAAACCCCTATTATATTTCTCAACACAGTGTCTAGAATTTTACACACATACACATTCACACATCCAGTATCTGTCAATCAGTAGCAATCAGTGACATTCAGTTTCTCTCAAAGTCTAATGAAGCATCTGATGTTCTGCTTGGATGGTGCTGGTCTTCACTTTTACTAATCCCTCCATGCATGTTCTAATTACAAACAGCAACTAAATCTGCTATGAACAAATGTAAGTCTCTAATGTAGATTTCATGGCCGGCTCTAATGGCTTGACCTTGCATTACGATCCCCACCCTATTTCAACCTGTTTCTCAATCATCCTTTTCTCTCAAGCTAAATGGAGGAAGATACAGAATGACTAGTCGATTTTTTTTCCCTCACTTTTGCAGTCTAACCAGAGGTTACTTTCCGTCTCAGAGTTGTACTTTTGTTGAGAGCTATCATATGTTTTTTTTTTTACAGCTAAGATGTCACGGAAATTTAGCATGGCTGCTGATCAGAAAGATGGTAAGCTTGAACTTTGCTCCCTCTCTTCATTTCTAGGTAGGCTGTGTAGCTGTAGTTCCTGTGAAGGACCTGGTCTGGTTGCCATCTTTGGCAAAATTTGCATCATAAATGATTATATAACGTGTTCATTTTGAAAAAGAAAAAAAGCTCCAGTAGTATAAAAATATGTATTGGGTGTGTTACAGATTGCAGAGAGATGGTGAGTGAGACCTAGTGTTGCGTGTGTATGTGTGTATGAGGTCATCAGTGTCCATACTTTGCCTCTTTGATTGTTTGCGCTGTGTGTGGAAGGGAATGTACAGAAGCAGCGTTCTCTCCCTAGTCAGAAATGTGCAAGTGATGTGTCCAGAAGAAAAGCAAGAACTATCCCCAGGACTCAGTTTGTGTCCAAATCCAGTGAGTGGCCCTGATCTGGCCTCACGTGGGCTGACCCGGGCTGGCTGTACTAACTCTTTCCCACCTCTGGAGTCTGCTGTGTGGGCCTGATTTTTGCTCACTAACTTGGGTTTGTTTGTTGAGACCAAAACTTTAAACCTTTAACGTTCAACATCTCTTTGAATTTTTCCGCCTATTTCCAGGGCCTTGTTCTGCACAGATTACAGATTAAAGGAATAGCTCAGGCAGACACGCTAATCTTGCCACCTGATATAATTTATCCCAGTAGCCAACAGTTAGCATGTCATTTTTCATAATGATAATTGGTTGCTATTCACTTACATTATTAATAATGATATATATTATTTATTGTACGCAACATTGCCATTGGCTGAACTATTCCTTTAAGGCGTATACAATTCCGTATAGCATGTTTTAACAGTTCATGATCATCAACAACAAAAGCGGGCTTTTGCAACACTGCATTTCTTATGTAGCATGCAAAAAGGACATTTTTAAAGGGGATGCGGATGTTTTTAGAGTAGTTTTTTCAGAATTTGTACATAATTAAATGGTCATGTAAACATTCACAGTGGTTTGATGTGAACTGTCTCCAAACATGCAGTCTCAGAAATAATCACAGCATTGGTTATAGGAGCCAGATGTCTAAAGTGTTTAATGCCTTTGAAAGCTGCATCATAGAAAGCTTTAACACAAATATGTTTCCTGATTTATGAGACATTGTTTTATGATAGTTTTAAAACAAGATTTGTGGCCTAAAAAGTATTATTAAAATCTCTATCCATTCATTGTGGAGAGTTACATACAGGGCATTGGCAAAGGCAAAATAGTATGTAACAGGAAATTTATTTTATTATTTTAACATACTAAAATTTTTGTTGTAGATATTGTGACTCCTGGTTCCTGTCATTACCACTGTAAAGAGAGTAAGTGTGACTGTAAGTCAGTTTCCCTGCAATGAAGCATTTCACATCAAACTACTCTGAATGACTTTGTTTACATCCCACGATTGAATCATACAGAAATTTTGCTGGAATTTCCTTTTAATAATAGGACATTGTTGGGAAACCAGGCCTGTGTATTAAACTGGTCTCTGCAGCACAAGTTTTCATTTAATAAAGAGGTGTAACTACTCAGACTGCTGTGGATTTTGGGCGTCTTACACTGTTGTAAGTTTTGGAAAATTAAATGTACTTATGTTTTCTTATGTTTTCGGAACTAGGCAGTATGGTTGTACTGCAGTGGTCACCAGCCCTCCTCCTGGAGATCTGGAGATCTACTTTCCTTTAGTTTTTAGTTTAGTTTCAACCTGCATTGAACATGCTGCCCCACTTTACCAACACTGATGCATCTTATTCAGTCAAGGACATTTAAGGAAGTTAATTAGCTGGAGCAAGTGTGGCAGACTGTGGTTGGAGAGAGATTCTGCAGGAAGGTAGATCTCCAGGACCAGGATTGGTGACCTCTGATCTACTGGAAGCATGTGGTGCTCCTCAAAGTATCTTTCTCATGAATAGGATAAGAGTAAGAAAAAGTTGTAATGTTTTTAGTAGACAGACTGAAAGTATACTTGGCTGCGTTCTGGATTTTTGAATGCTAACTCACTCTCATTGACCATGTATGTGTTTTGTGTGCAGTTTTAAGGCTTTACTAGTACATTTAGCAATGATGCTTTAATTCAAAACAAAGAACTACATAATTTTCAGATATTACTGTAAATCTAGATGATTTCCTAAACAGCTTCACACAAAGCATAAATTCACAATCTATTGACATATTGAAATTGCTCTGAATGTTGCTTTTTTCTTTCCCTTTTTTCAGGTTTCCATGAAATAGTTTTGATACCACATTTTATATTAAATCACAACCTTCTTCTTTCTTTTGTCTTTCTATTTTGTCCCTGATGGGCCACCACACCTGCAGATGCCAGAGACAACTCCTTCAGTCGCTCGCGCAGCTCCAGCGTGGCCAGTATTGACAAGGAGTCTCGTGAGGTCATCTCTTCTTTGCACTTTTATGACTGTCTGTCTAGGAAGAGTGAAGCAACAGCAGTCGCCAGCCTATGGTTGGGCACCTCCATGGGCACTATGCTGGCCATCTCCCTTAATGTGCCCTCCACCCCAGAGCTGAGGCTGCAGCAGACTGTAGGCATCTCATTTTGTGGTAAGAGGACTTCTGTGGAAGATTCAGTATAAGTCCCTCAATACGTGGGAAAATTAAACATTTTAGTTATTCAGACTTAAATGAATAGCTTTGCAAATAATAATTTTTGTTCCATTTTTCCATTACCGCAAATTTTGTCAGTCAGCTAAGACATGCTTCGTGTCTGAAGTTTACTTGTTTAGTTTTGTATTGGAGCTATGAGGCTATTGTAGCTAACAAATAATGAAAGCCTAAACCTCACCAATTAGCACTGTACTGATGGGGTCATACAGTTTCCTCAAATCACATACTTGACACATCATCTAAAAATTTGAAAAATGTAGTAGCAGCCACCTGTTTGAATCTGTCCATATTTTTATTTTTGTCGATAACAGTATGTTATACAATATCAGAAACCACATAACTAAGTCTGTGTAGTCATGCAGTTTGCACAATGCTAACTGGTGGCTTTAAACTTCTGTTAGCTACAATAGCTTGTAGCTCTAATGCAAAACTAAAAAGGCAGACTTTGAATGCTAGTCATGTCTTAGTTTACACATTTCCACTCATCCCAAATGTAGTCAATTAGACAAGTCACGACTAGCGTTCAAGGCTTGCTTTTTTAGCTTATTTTACCTATAAAGGCATGATCAAAATTTCACAGTTTGTAGGCCTGTTTTGGTCCAGTCATGAGTTTTAGTTCTCATTCATACACTTTATTGTGTGTATTGCAGTGGACCTAAATCTTATGTATATTATGTCCCCCCAGGTTCAGTGGTTCGACTGAAGGGAGGCATCCTGCGCATGGCTTTGATGGATTCTACTGGCTCTCTCCAGCCTCCTGCCTATGAGTGCTGGTATGATCCCAACGCCCCCGAGGATGAGAAGGAGCGGACACGGAGGCGCCGGCCCGCCTCACCACCGTCCACTCAGGAAAACCAGGACAGCCACTACGCTGTGGTCTGCTCTGATAAACAGGCCAAAGTGGTGGCTATGCCTTCGCAGAACTGCGTCTTTGAACACAACATTACGGAGAACTCGTTCGTGCTGAGGGCTGATGTAGTGATCATGCCTGCTGGCATCTGTATTGCTTGCTTCTGTGCCAATGGGCACATCATGACTTTAAGGTAAGGCAGGAGCTCTGCTGCTACATGATACACAGTGAACCTTTGCCTTCTATGTAATTATTGCGCTGGGGCACAAACTTGGAATGGAAGTTGTATGTAGTTGTAATATTAGCATTGTAAAATCTAGGTAAATTTCATCTGGCATACTCAGCCTTTGTTCTTTGTGCCAGTTTGCCAAGTCTGCGGCCACTGCTGGATGTGAACTACCTGCCCCTCACGGACATGCGAATAGCCAGAACTTTCTGCTTCTCAAACTTGGGCCAGGCTCTGTATCTTACTTCCCCTACAGAGATCCAGAGACTCACCTACAGTCAGGAAACATGTGACAACCTACAGGTCAGACATCCCCACAAACAGTGTCTTTGTGTTTAATATACTTTAATACCCTTCTCTTATCATTATAGGCCACTGGTTCCTAACTCTGGTCCTGGAGTTTCAATGCCTTGCAAATTTTAGGTTTTCCTTGCTCTAGCATGTCTACTTCATGTCAGTAAGGGCTTATTAATAACAGTCGTATACAGAACAGGATACTCCTTTTATAAGAGAAAATACATTAACATCCTCTACAGTAAACAAAAAATTAAATATGACATTTTCCTGCACATTTTAGAGCACAGTTTTTATTTATTTGCCAGATTTAATATATTGGAAAAAAATAAAATATACTAAATGTGCCATAGCTTTTGTACATTTTGTGTGTTATGTTTTCCCCATATGTTAAGTTCAGCAAAACAAACATTTAATTGTACATTAAAATGTGCAGAAGTGTGTTCTCTGTAATTAATTGGATCAGGTGTGTCAGAGCAGGGAAAACAACAGGGACGGGAACTGATATAGTGTTGCATTTTGTTTGTATATATGATTTATGTATGTATTTGGTACTGTTGACATTTGCAGGAAATGCTGGGAGAGCTGTTCACTCCAGTAGAGACACCAGAGGCTCCTAACAGAGGTTTCTTTAAGGGTCTTTTTGGAGGTGGGGCCCAGTCCCTAGATAGAGAGGATCTCTGTGAGTATCAGAAGCACACTCTGCTTCTAAATGTGTGCTTAAATGTAAAAAGTATGGCTTTAAAGTCATGTAGTGCCGCATTGCATCAGCTCCACATTGTCATCATTCCCCTTGTATGTCCTTGGCTTTGCAATCACAGTCGGTGAGTTGGCAGCAGGTAAGGCCTCGCGCAGCCTGGCCCAGCACATCCCAGGACCAGGCAGCATGGAGGGCATGAAGGGGGCAGCATCAGGCGTGGTGGGGGAGCTGGCACGTGCTCGGATAGCTCTGGATGAGAGAGGACAGAAACTCGGCGAGCTGGAGGAGAGGACAGCAGCCATGATGGCTAGCGCAGACTCTTTTTCCAAGCATGCGCATGACGTGAGTCCACTGCAGCAACACCATGGCACATTGGAAGAATATAGTGCTAGCTCATGATAGGATAGGCTTGTGTTAAGATGCTCATCATGGTACGTCACAATTTGGGACATCACAGTGCATTACAATATTGCAGTTGAATCATGATGCTTCATGCTAAAAAGTAACTCTGAAAGAAAGATACTATGATGCTCTTTAAATTTGAAATTTAATGAAACGACAGGCTGAGTTTAAAAGCTATATTAGAAGCCTTACTAAAAGCTTTTGTTGCTAATAGCCTTTAAGTAGGGATTTCATCTAGGGGTGGGCAATATGATGATATTTTATCGTTCTCGTGATCAATTATGTCACAGTCTGCTTTTCTGAGCATTTCGTGGATATCGTCAGAGCTTAAAGAACACATTGTACTACAAAGTGAGTATAAGTAGACCTGTTTAGTGCAGTGCAGTTTGTAAAACACTGAATAAAATCATTGTAGTTGTAGGATATTATTATTATTATTATTATTATTATTATTATTATTACTAAATGTCATGATGCATACTGTGTTTTGTAAAAATGTCTTGAAGTATCATGGCAGAATATTTTGCCGGTCCTAACTTCATCCACATGACCTATAGTAAAGGATATGAGTACACAGACAGACAGACAGACAGACAGACAGACAGACAGACAGACAGACAGACAGACAGACAGACAGACAAGCGAGCAAGCAAGCAAGCAGGGGTACACAACTCAGGTCCTGGAGGGCCAGTGTCCAGCACAGTTTGGAGCTTTCCCTACTCACAGCCACTGAACCTGGCAATGAGTCTAATCAGGTGATTTTGAGTAGGTAAGTCACCAAACTGTGCTGGACACCGGCCCTCCAGGACTGGAGGTGTGCATCCCTGGAAGTATCAAAGAAAAATATCATCTCAAATTAACAATTACTCATAGAATGGACACAGGTCTATCATGATTTCAGATTGAGGAAGTGCTCTTTCTTGCTTCTCTCTTACAGATGATGCTGAAGTACAAGGATAAGAAGTGGTATCAGCTCTGATGGCCATGTAAGGAGTCGGAGGCCTTTGCCTTAGGGCTGCAGACACGTCCCTTCTCTCCCCCTTCTTCCTCCTGCGCCTGCCATCCTCGCCCAGTACAACACCACACCGATACCTCAGTCACTTGACTCAGGCTAAGAAGCAGAAGGGAGGCAGAGGATAGAAGAAGGTGGGGAAGGGAAGAGGAATGCCAGAGTAGCCCTTCCATCTTTTATGGCGGTATCTGAGTGGTTAAGCCCCCTTTCCCTTCCACAAAGATGATCTTTTTAGTTACAGGAGAGGGCGCTCAACACATATGCAGCCCTTGCTACTCACTCTCATCATCTATGCTGTCATTTTTCACTGCCATTCTACTTACAGAAACTACAAAATGGATTGTGGTGTTTGTTTTTATACATTAGTTGAGAGTACAGCTGAGAAATACAGAAAATGTTCACTGCATTGCCAGGTGTAATGCTACTGATAATAGCTTGGGCAAGAATAAACGGCATGTCCAGTGACTTTCTGTTCAGAAACCTAGCATTTTATTCTTTTTTTGTGCGTTTTCAACTAGACATGGGCCAGACTGTCTTACATAAGACGTCATGAAGTGTCATTAAATTAATCTCTAAAGGGCTGGTAATGTGCTGTAATTACCACATATCATGTGATCATTCTGCCATATCAGACTGGAAGCTGGCCATAGTTAAGTAGTCGGTGAAATTAATGTCTTTCACTAAAGGACATGCTGGTTTACACTGATTAGATTCCAGAAGTCTACCAGAAGCCAAGATCTTTCTCACTCCTAACTTAACACAGGCAGATTACACCGATCAGCCATGACATTAAAACCCCTCCTTGTTTCTACACTTACTGTCCATTTTATCAGCTCCACTTACCATATAGGAGCACTTTGTAGTTCTACAATTAACGACTGAAGTACAACTGTTTTTTGTATACTTTGTTAGTCCCTTTTTACCCTGTTGGTCAGGACCACGACAGAGCAGGTGTTATTTGGGTGGTAGATCATTCTCAGCGCTGCAGTGACATTGACGGGGTGGTGGTGTGTTAGTGTGTGTTTTGCTGGTATGAGTAGATCAGACACAGCAGTTGCTGCTGGAGTTTTTAAAATGATAAAATGGACAATGAGTGAAAAGGTTTTAATGTTATGGCTGATCAGTGTATATACATCCAAACAGATTAGTGTGATCTGCTCATCCTCTGAATACTTGGAGATTTCAAAGTAGTTGTATATCATTCACTGGAGTAATATATCTGATACCTGGAGCATGTTGTACCATTCTTACCCATGTGAAGAAACTTAAGACTTTGGAAGTTTGAGGCATGAATTATGACAGTATGTGCCTTGTGAAGATGGATGTACTAGATGTGTTCACTTCCAGGGAAGAATTTGCCAATTAGTAAACCGCTGAATGTTTCAGGCTCCCATGATGCTTCAGCTTCTCTGCTCTGGGCCGAGGAGATCCCATAGAGCAGCGTGTATCTAACCAGCTCCAAAAGAGGTCAGCCCTGCTGTTAAACTGCAGTACAGGCCATGGTGTCCATCTTTTCTCTGGAAGAAAGGACATATATTTATCTTCTGTTCATGTCCATTTTTTTCCTTTGAAAATATGCATGTGTCTTGTCTGGAGGACCATAGCCATCCGTGTATTTGTCGTTGCAGTGGAAGTGACCAAGCGCCACTAAGTGTTTTATGTAACTCCATGCTCTTGGTCAGCATTCGCTCAGTCTGTACAGGACAAGGGGCTTCTTTTTTGCCTTTTGCTTATCATGCAAATATGCTAACCTCGACCTACATGTATATCTGTGAGTTTGTGAACATACATATACGCAGGAATATGTGTATGCCCACACAATGGTTACAGAAATGCCATAAGTCTTTTTTTTCTTTCTTTCTATTTGTGAGGTGCAAGAAATTGCTGCTACTTGTGTTTATTTAGGAGCATTATTTTTGTTGTTCTTTATTTACCAATGAAGAGCAAGGCTTTTCTTTTCTCTTTCCAAATTGCTGCCAAATGTTGTAAATAGCTGGACGTTTGAAGACAAATTTGAGAGAGATGGCATAGTCAAAGCAGCTGGGGATGGTTGCCAAGTTCTTGTCCGACACCAAAGAGTTATTTAGTTTTGCTTGTTGTTCTCATATCCAGAATGCAAGGCTTTGACCTGCTGTTTTACTGTTCTGCTGTATCTGAGAAACTGGTGTCAGGACCTCCCTAGAAATACAGTGAGCCACTCCTTTGCTTGCCGTGACGTTTGTGTAAATACCTACCAAAATAGAGAATTTTCAGCGTTGACTGAACTGAAAATGAATTACGCTACTGTGCTTCATATTCTTCTTTTTTGTATAAGCAATTGTGTGGTTTTGCACTATATGTTTTGTATTATAATGACATGGAAGTCATTTTATTGATATTTTTGTAGTTTGTATTGTAACTATTTTTTGGCATTTGTTTCTTTCAGAAGGACCAAAAAAAATGAGAACGCAAGATGCTGAAGTGTGTTGATGGCAAGCTTCAGGAGTGTCTTTTACTCTCAGATCTGTCTTCATTGTCAGTTTAATGATATTATATTTATATATTTGGAAGATATATATACTTTTAATTTCAGATATTTACAAATGAATACTTTTAGTATATTATTTAAAAAGAGAATGGTGCATTTTAAGAAAATGAATTAGTTGTAAATATTCTCCGTAAATCCAATGTAAAACTGAAACACCTTGGAGGGTGAGCCAACTGTTTGGTCATGAGTTAAAGGAGGAGCTGCTGCAGCCTGAGGAAGCTCCCTTCCTCTGAAACTATCTCTGGCCATCTCTGTATACTGTGTGTCCTACAAGTTTCTTGCACAAAAGAGGCAGCATGTTACTTAGTGTTTACAAACTTGAAACATCCATTTACGTATACCCTTTATAGGAGGCGTCTGCTTTGGGAATATGCCAGAATTATATGTTTGATGAGAACAAATCACATTGTATCTTTTTATTTCCCCAATCGGGCATGAAGGAGCATATTTATTCAATGCGCATTGTTATGGTTTGAATTGTTCAGCGTGAGCATACCTAACCAATACAGTTCTCCCTAAAGCTCTTACTGTTCCATTTTCTAGGTGGGCCTCTTTTCTCAGTCGTCATCTTCTTGGGAAAGTTTCAGTGGGGTGTAGTTTTTCTCATTATAGCCAAGTTATTGTACAGTTTTATTAAGCAAAATTTCACATGGATGTTTGTCTTAATATGCTGCCACCTACAATTTAAGAAATATGTTGATAAACCTAAATGTGCAATGGAAAAATAAATGTAAAGCAAAGATATTTTTTTGCTAATGGTTTTTAATTGTCTCAGAGTTCTTGTGTTACTTGCTCAGTGAGTCCGTAATGATAGCTATAAGAAAAAGCCTGTTACAGGCTTGGGCCACAAGGTGTCACTGTTTTCCCCACTGTGTATGTACTGTGGTACAAGACAAAGGTATTTCCTATTTCAATAATTACAAGCTAAAACAGTTTTTGACAGTGAAGAGCAAAAACTGTAAATCACAGGAAATGTACTCTGTTTCTTCACTTTTTAACTAACTATCGTTTACTTTATTATTATACTGCACCGTTGCTCTGGTGGTCTCTTGTGTTTTCACATTCAGAATAGACTGCCTTTTTAAAGGTTTAAACAAATTAACCTAAAAATACTAAGAAAATGATTAAGTATGGGTTTAAACTGAACATTTATTTCCTTGAGTTAGTGGCACCCTTTAAATGAAAATTACTTCTTGCAGGACAGGTCACTGTCATTCACTGTTCTCACACAGGCACACATTGATTAATAAATGTGTTGTGATATTGTGTTATAATGAATCATATATAAAAACACATGGGTGATTCCATGCCTGCAGTCTTTTTCATTGAAACATGAATTATAAAAGTCTTAAAGGTAATCTTTCCGTCATCATTCACATTTCTAATTATTTAGTAATTCCTTATTATGGTCACGAAATAGTATTCTGAGTAGAAAACCTCTTTTAGTGAGGCATCTAAATGCAGGCTGAAAATTTCAGAAAGTAAAAGGAGTCGAAGAGGTCAGTGAAGCTTACCGGCCCCGTCTCTTAAAAGCAGATGGTTGTCTTGACTGGTTTTGTCTGTGATTAGGGCCTGAAGCTCATTGAGGCTGTTGCAGCTCCGCCTTCACTTCTTCACGCAGCCTGCAGGGGGCGCCAAGGTGCGAAAAATACTATAAGAAAAATCAGCTCTACGTAGGGATGAGTTGAGGAGCAGAAACACAGAGAGGGGGAATTTCAATTTAGCGACGAGTGAGCAAGAGAACACTACCGGTGGAGGCTGTTTTCTTCTGGAGAGAAGAGGGCGAGCATGGTTTTCTCCAGCAGGGCTGTGTGTGAGCAGTGAAGCCATCAGGATGGTGAAAATCACCGAGGAACAACTCACTGCACAGCCGCACATTCACTCACACCTTGGAAACACTAGCGAGCTGAAGCACTGAGTGGTGGAGGAAATTCGCGAACTGGATAACTTATGTACGCACTGCTGTGTGCAATTCATAGTTTTTGGCGACTCTTCATACGACTAAGACTAAACCTTCATGTTTAGAAGTTTCCTCAAAGTACTAACGCTGGTTTTAAGGTGAGGACGTTTGTGTTTAAAGTTTACAATTCTGGATTTAACATGTAGATGAAAGATAGGCTACTCAGTTCTGCACTTTATGCCAATGTTATGATTCAGAAGTGCTATGAACTCGTTTTCCAGTGCTTTTGGAAAAACACTACTTCCAGAGATCGATCCGATGGACCTGTAGACTTCAGGTTTGCTTTGCAGAGACGCTGCCAGTAGAACAGAGGTTGGTGAGGAGAATGCAGAGCCATCATCAGAACTGATACATGGACTTCTTGGTGTAATTTTGGAAGAATGAGCAGCGGTCCCACTATAGTCTACGAGTGGTTGAAGACCCTCCAGCTGTGCCAGTATGTTGAAGCGTTTGTGGATAATGGCTACGATGACTTGGAGGTGTGTAAACAGATAGGGGACCCTGACCTGGATGCCATCGGTGTGTTCATCCCTCATCACCGGCAAAAGGTTCTCCGTGCGGTTAAGAGGCTGAGAGATGAGGACAAGAAGGTGGCACCTGGACTTTACTTCACCTTAGAACCACTTCCAGGTGTCTCCAGTGTAGGTCTACACTCTTCCCAAGTGTGTGACCCTAAACCCAATGGCTCAAAGTCATGGGTCTCTCCTGCATGGGATAGAGCAGGACTAAACCCAGGCTTTGAACTGTCCAATAATAATATATTGCTTGAAGACCCTATGGATCCAGTGACTTACCCCAAACTCAAACTGAAGATCCTGATACGGGACAAGCTTGTCAAGGATGGAATCGACCTGAGTAAGCCCCCCTACTCATTTAAGGTGTGTATAAGCCTGGATCATTGTCTGTCTGCTGTACCAGTCCGTCAGTTCAGCCAAATAATACAACACCCACACATCCTCCTGGCTGGATCATTAACATCCTGGTTCACTCATTTGGCTACTTGTGTTTTGCAGTCATGTAGCCACTGTTTAAATCTAATCTTGTTTAAGATTTTGATCAGGTTCTGCTACAGGTGTTGCAAAAAGTGGTCAGATTTTAAAAGATTGTCATATTTCTCAACAACCAGTTACAAGAGACTAGATTTGTAGAGAGCTATGCAGTGATCTAATGCCACACATACTGTTACACTTAGTCCATAAGTGCAATGTTTTTGTACATCTTTCAGCATGTCAATCATGTGTATCTTAATCACATGCTGCTACATGCATATACCTAGGCCTGGGCTGTGTGCAAGACAAATGGTCTAGTCATAGGCTGGAGGTATTAAGACAGTCTAAATTGTGCCCATTATTCATTAGTGGACCCTGGGGCTTTGGTAGCTGCATTGGCTCGGCCCTAATCAATAACCTAGAGGACAAAGACAATAATCCATTAAGCACATTTACTACTGACAGTACAGAGATTCACCACATGGTTAACACAATGAAATTTGAGGGCTTAATGAATGGCCTACTGAGTTACAGTAAAGTCATTTTTCGATGAGAGGCCGAGTTGAAAAGATGTAGCCAGACTTATCAGCTGTACTGTTAGGTTAATTTACTTGTGCAAATGTATTTTGAACTATTAGAAGTAATATAAAATAATTTTGGAAAATGGTTTAGGCTGTATTCTTGTGCCTGTTGTATGTTAACCTAAAGCTACTATATCTTATTATTATGATATGAAAGCCGTGTCAAATAACCAGACATAATGCAATTATGCTTTTATCTCAGACCCAGAGCCTAAGGACCCATTAGCAATTTATGATCACCCCAAACTCATCACATTAGTAAGTGGACTAAATAAACCATTGCCTTTTAAATGATATCAACCTGTAGCAGCCTGCACCTCACTGACTGCATGTCGTGCTGCAGCGCTGAACTGTCAGTGGACTCGTCCTGTGCTTTTGTTCACAGCCTGAGCCGTGCCCATGCTGGGCTTCTTATCAGTGCATTTATCTGAGTGGCTGGTCTCTGGTGACAGATGGCTGTGAATGGCTTCATTGGGGTTTGAGCGCAGCCCAGAGAGCCACTTAAACTTCACATGGGATGCCAAAGACACCCAAAACTCATCAGTCCTCATTATCATCTCTATTTGCATTTGTTAGGAGTGGCTCATGTCTCAAACGCTTTATCCGCTTCTTTCATTTCGGCCTCACATTTTAAGTGTATTCTGCACCACACAAAAGGATTAACTGAGATGGCTAATCTAAAGACACTTTGCTGTGTTTTGACAGCTTGGCCTGATTTGTTGATATTGTTTAAAGATGCAGCATTATGAGTGTATTCTGTAGGTAATACGAGCAGAAGAATGGAGGTTCTGTTTTATGTCTTTTTGGATAGAGCTTGGCAGTGGGAACTTGACTCTAAATGCTCTATGCTCTTTCTGTATCCTCCTGTCTTAGTGGGTAAATGTAGGAGATTGGCCTAACCTGCATTAATCATGAGCAGATGGAAGTTCTTATTGGCGTCCTTGAATACAAAAGCTCCACTAGCTACACATCACCCTCTCTTCAAAAAGCTTTAGTAAAGCTCAAGTGTGTGTCACAGCGAATGAATCGTTTATGGCCCAGGTTTATAGCTTCTCACGCCTTCTATTTAAGGAGATAGCATGTGACAGAAGGAGAGATAGATAGGAGAGAGAGAGAGAGAGAGAGAGAGAGAGAGTACGTCAGCTATAGCTGTCCTTCCTTTTCACTTCATTAGCCACTAATAAAAAAACATTTGTTATCTGGAAGGGAAGTCTAAATATTAATACTTGACAATAAATTTTATTAATACCATTCTGACGTGCGATTGTAACATTCTTGTCTCTTTGTTTACTCTGTTTAGTATAAAGCTATCCAACTGTTTGGCAGCTTTTTAGGACTCACACAGACCTCGTCTCACTGGACCATCTCATTCTGAGTCCACAAGGTGACTCAGACCAACAGAAGTACACTCAGGTGATTGTTTAAAGGGGAATTCTTCTGTTTTTTTTTGTTTTTTTTCAAAATTTCTGCATATTCAAATGGTTAACATGTAAACAGTCATTCAGAGTTGTTTGATGCGAAATGCTTATTTCTAGAGAAACTCACTGAGTCAGAATTGTTCACAGTGGTGGTGATAGGATGTCCAAACGTCTGAAGAACTTAATGCTTTCAAAAGGTACCTCACAGAACATTACTACTTAAAGTGGTTACAAATACTCTGCCTGATGCCTGAGACATTTTTACAGTAGCTTTGAAATAAGATTTTGGTTTTAAATGTATTATTTTAATGCATTCATGATGAAGAGGTACATGCAGGATGTTGTAAGGTAAAATAGTACCCCAAAAACACATTTTGTTCAGATTTAGCAGTATTTTGTATACATGTAAGAAGACGTGTAGGTTCACTGGTGGCTTTTGCAAGAGTTGCTATTTTAATTATATCCTACATTATTCACTGTTATGTTATTCAAGTTATAAGTGGGGAATTTTAAAAATGTTGCTTTTAAATCACAATCGCAACACTGGTCAGAAAGATCAGTTAGATATTTCCCCCAAAATTCATCCCTTATCTCAACCATTGAATTATGAAGGAATTTTGAAAAAATGGTGGAATTCCCCTTTCAGGATGTACTGGATGTGTGATCGGTGTAGTGTAGTGGGTAACACCTCTGCCTTCTGCACTGTAGACTGGCGTTTGATCACCCCCCTGGGCAAGCACCCTACGCTATACCAATCCTTGGGCAGGACTCGTAACACTACCTTTGCCTACCTGTGTAATCTGGATAAGAGTGTCTGCCAAATGCCGTAAATGTACTGGATGCTTGTTTAAAATGTGTAGGCTATGATTTAGTGATGAATCTAGACAGTCTGATTGTTTCATAAATGTCTGTGTTTTGTTGCATCTGTGAGTTCATTCTCTTCATTCAGTATATCTGAGCTTTAGCAGATCCTCTTTTCAAGTTACTGTATACCTCCAGAAAGAAGTCCAGGACTTTGACACATATTGACAGTAATAGTGAAAGACGTACTGTAGTCTAACCAAGCTTTTTATGCGGCCTGAAGTTCAGAATGTTCCTCTATGTATTCTCAGTAGTCCTAATGTGTGTTTGTTGAATTTGTAAGCCACGGGTTCCTGTTGAGGGTGTTCAGTAAACAGTGATTTTGGAGCCGTCTGGGCTGTCAGTGTGCTGAGCTAGAGTAACAGAGACTGATAAATCACAGAGTGCAGTGTGGTGGTGTTGGTTTGCAGTTGGGATTTTGTCCCAGGAGTCTTCTCTGATTTTTATTTTTTTCCCCCATTGTACCAAGCAAACCCTTTCTCAAATTCTGTTGCTTAGGCATTGAATGATCATTATTATAGATAATCAACAACAGTCCTTGCTGGTTGTGGCCTGAGGCCGAAAACAGGAGTAACTCCTCTGTAAAGCTTCATTCTCTTCCTACTGAGAGAGTGTTCTGAAACAGAAATACCTTGTGCACACTCAACGCTGTATAATGTTCATGAAAGATTCAGACTCTACAAACTGCAAAGTGCAGGAGAAGCACTTTGTGACTCACAGCTGACCTTTTATTTCATTCAGACTAAGGGAGGCGGATTGATTTGAGTTCGTCTGGAACATTTCACGTTGTGATTTTCTCAGGTTTTTGCACGCCGGTGGGAGCAGAGCAGTTTTAGAAAGTGGCTTACAGTGAGCCTTCTAGGGACAAATCACTAAACGTTTTGACCTAATGTGGTGTCTTGGCTTGTCCTTAAATCTGAATGAATCTGTTTCCCTGTCAGTTTTGGCCAAAGAACAGCTTGGCAACTGAGAAGGGAAGCACTTTTAGACCCTCTCTGTGCTGTCATAAATGTTTTTTTTCTGAAAGGCTCTGACAGCCTGATAGTCTGTGGTTTACAGAGGGCTTTTTTTATGGTCTAACCTCCTTTGGGAGGACCTCTGTTGAAAGCAATGGAACAACAGAGCACATGTAGCATTGAGTTAAAACTCTCTCTTTTTCTTCATGTCAAAACAATTTCTGGTCAGGACAGCTTCAGGTAACTGTTGAGTACATGAACAAACCATGAGATCATGTCCAGACTTTGACTTTCATAGCTGTTGTTATTTAATTATATATCCTAATTCTGCAACCAGATTAATTCTGTTGGATTTTTTTTCAATAAAACATTTCCCAGAACACTATGACATTACTCAGGTTACTATACTGGAATGGTGATGCTCCACATACATGCTATAGTAGACAGTTTTTTTTGACCCACAGATGTCATATTGTGACTGTTAACAAGGCTTTTTGGTTAATATCTAACTGGTAATGTGAGTTTAGAGCATGCTTCACTGATGGAGACCCAACATGACTGAATAAATTAGACTGCACTGAGAATAAATTAGACTACACTGAGAATAAATTAGACTGCATATACTGCGTTAAATTCCCTTTAGATAATCCACTAAGAAGTTCAGCTGTAGGTCGGTATGCACAGCTGCTTCAGACAAAAGTTGCAGGACACTGATCATCACTTTTCGTTCAGTCAATCAGTGATTGCCCTATAATATCTTTCCTATCAACAGCAGATGTGCTTAAATGTACAATGTCAGAATATGTTTGTTTTTTCTTTGCCAGACTGAGGTGCTAATTAAATAAGCCCTGGGGTTTACAAAAGAAACAAGTAGCATTTTTTTCCTTGTTTTTAAAACTAAGCACGTAGCTTAGTTTTAAGGGGAAAAACATTTCCACTCTTAGGAGAACTATAGTGAGTGTGCTTTTCATTGTTTGTCCAGAGCTCAGTTACCTTGTTTTTGTCAGAATTTATGTTATGCATGGCTGAAAGCATCAAAAGTTTCTGTCAGAAATGTCACCATGTTTGTTATT